TCCATCATTAATTTGAAATTTGAACCTAATAGTCAGAAGACTGAGAATTAGTTAAAACTACATTTTGATGACCTGTATCTTCTGGATCTTTTGACCTTTCCCTCGGAAGTTGTGTATATCATGTCACATCCCCTTATTAATACAAAAAATATATTTTTATCCTAAGAAATCTTTGAAATATCTGCCTAATACTTGGCTTTTTAAGGGAACAGTAAGAGAAAGATGGGGTATTTAGTTTTCTGCAGTATAAGATTTTTCTTTTCCTTTATTTCACCCAGTAATACGTTAGATCTAGTAATGAGTAATCATCCCTTTCCTTTGTTAAATGTATCATGTTTGAAAGAATTTTATGCAGCCATTGCAGGTTCATACTTGTTATTCCATTTACTAAGACCAGTGAATTGGCTTGGGCAAGAGATTACTCTAGAATTGTTTTTGAAAAATGGCTAATATTTTCTAATTGGAGGCACCTTGGAGATAGTGAGTCTACGCAGGAACTGAAAAGTCTGCCTCCGGACTATAAAAACTTGTGACTCCTGAGGAGTCAACTGTTAACAAGAGAGATTGTCTTAGAGAATCCAGCAAGCGTGCTCCCCTCTGCTGGAGGAGGTGTGGTGTGTTCTAGGAGAATTTGAGGTACAAAATATTTCTTTCCATAGAGACTGAAAATCCAATTCACACTGGGCAAGGTTTTCTTTCTCTGTTTAACGTATTTTTGTTCTATGGAAAGAGCTAACCCTTAGTGACATGGCAGTCACAGCAGACATAACAAATAGGCTCTCACCTCTATGTTTTAAGCTTAACAGTTACTTGAAGGTGAGGACAGTATAGCCAACCTCATCCTTGCCATAAAATTCTATGAGTGTAGGAGACACCTCATAGATATTTGTTAAATTTGACTAAATCAAGTTTACACTCCCTTTACTGAACATTATAAAAATTGGAAATTTGTTGAAAATGTTGATCATAAAAACCAAAAGTTAGGTGACATCAGTGCCTGGTGTCGTAATGGAAGAACACCAGCAGTTTGACACACTGCACTCCTCTATCTTTTGCAGTCTTCATATAAAGCGTTAAAATGTTTTTGGATTGAACATGAAGTAATATTGAGTCTCTTCTACTTACTGGAATTTGAGCTTGGAAAAGTTAAGGTGATCCTCTAGAAGAAGTGATACATCGGCTTCTAATCTCTTTCCACCAACTATGAGCTGATGATAAAAGTTTTTGATTCTTAAAATACTAATTTATTTTAAATTAATAATAAATTTCCTTAGATAAAGATATAGAAAAGCATCATCACCATCAATTTTGAAATTATTTTCCAAAGCTCTTAATTTCCAGCTGATGAAAAGCCAGGACTCATGCCTTCTGTGAGCACACACGCTCCCATTCAGTTGGGACGACCCCGAACACCGAAGGATGACTTCTGCAGCACCACTCCTTCCTCCTCCCGCAGCCTCCTCTAAGGAGGTCTGGGAGGTCTTTTCAGGTTTGCTGAGCCACCTCTTTTAATGATGGGGATCAGGGTGGAGTGGTGGAAGCTGAGAGCAGAAGAGAGAGAGGTAGGATGGAGGAATAAAGAGAAAAGAAGGGAGCGGGCTGACAGAGGAAGTTTTGGAAAAAAGAGACCTAGTATTAGTGACAATTTTGAGATGAGATTCTCTGACTGCTTTACAGAGCAGAAATTTGATAGGGAAAGACATAAATATGGATGCTGTAGGAAATGTGGTTGGGAGACAGTGTAATTCATCCTTCACTGGCTCTTCAGAAGACCTGTGAAGACTTTGCTTTTCAAGGACTGGATTTGGATTTGTTTTCCATTCGTGGGCGAGATAGGCCTTAAAGCTGTAGCTGGAAGGCTGTTTGATTCAGGTGATAGTTGGATAGATTTTAAAGAGTAATACACCAGGAAACAAGATAAATCTTTTTTGACTATGGCATGATAACTTATTTACCAAAAGTTATAACTCAGTGCAAAAGTGCTGTAATTCTTGATTCTTGTTAAGCCAAGAGCTTTGTAATTTCTGATTGCCTTTTCAGTTTAATGATTTACATACCTAAGCTATCTTCTTGGTGGTGCATTGTTTTTACATTTTTTCCAAATATGCCTTATACTATGAGACAATGAGTTGACTGTAGACTGGAAATTGACCACCGAGAAAATAAAATGAAAATGGTTTCTTTAATTGTCTGATTTTCAAAATCTGAAAAGCCCCTTTCAAAATTAGGCAATTTAAAATAAAGCAGGTACATGAATGTATATACAAAGTTTTCTTAGCAAAGATTATTCGTGAAGGCTTGTGATTTATGGAAGTTACTCATTTTCTTTCTATAATTAAGTTCTATGCTTATGCATATTAAACAGTTTTAATTACTGAATATGTGCACTAGTAAATCTCAAAATATTTCATGTAAAATTTCCAAATGAATTTGGCAATTTAACTGTTAATATTCCTGGACATTATAATACCCTTGGGACCATGGGGTCCATGGTTGGTAGGCAGTAAAGAAATAGAGATCCTTTTTTTTAAATGTTTCTGTTTAATCTTGCACACACATTTCAACCTTGCTCTGATCATGATGAGGTTGAAAATTACACTTAAGATTATCATGCTTACAGTTCTGAAAAATATAAATGTAAACTTAAAGAAATTTTAAAGAAGATTTGGAGTGAGAGACAAAGTGAAAAGGCAGTTTTATAATATTAGAGAAAGATGTTAGGGAAGGAAAAAAGAAGTATAAATTAACCAGATATAGAATAAAATCAGTGGACATTTTTAAGAAAAAATTCTAAACAGAGAACTTTAATCTTGCAAAGTACTGAATGCCCATCCCATAGAAGTTTAAATACTTTATAGAATTTATTTCATCAAAGTATACAGATGTTGCTGACAGAGTCCTATGGAAGACCATAATTATTTTGTTCCTTATTTTTCTAAATACTTTTTTCATCGTATTATAAAAATAAATATATATGATTAATAAATTTAATCTGTTTTACATCTGTTCTTATTTAATATATATTCGAAGACAGGTAAATATGGAAATTTCATATTTCCTCTAAATGTATCTGGGTTTGTGTAAATGTATCAAGCAAACTGCAGACAGTCTATAAGTGAGGCACGGCCATGCGGGTGAGGGCTGGAAAATGCTGCTAGCCATTTCTGACACGCTTACTTAACAAGTGAGGGATTTCCCACTTTTTTCTTTTATAGCATACTTTAAGGAATACTTTAAAGACTCTTCCTTCTAGCTCTATACATTTTTTTTGAAATGAGAAAAATTTAGCTGTGGTAGGCAAAAATCAGGAGATAAATCAGCAAAAGAAAATATGTGGAAGGGTCTGATCTAATGGGACAATCGACAAATCTTAAAATAATGAAAAAAGAGAAAGTGAGGCTCATTTAATAGCAAGAAAGCTACTATCACCCAAAAATATAATTCAAGTAGGAATTTGAGCATGTGGGTAGGGCACCTTTATTTCTGAGATCAAATAAAAACGGATTTATTAAATCAGTATTTTTAGACAATCTACTCTTTTTTTTCCTAACATATTCTCCCTACTTTTCCACCTAGCATACTAGTCATTTTTTTAGTTTCACAAGGAACAGCTGATTTTATAAATGAATTTGTTCATAAGACAGCACTATTTTGATAAGCTGACTCAGCTTAATTCACTGAAAAATATATTTGTCTTTTTTTTGTAGCCTCTGAGAAGATTATGACAACACACCTTAGCTGTGTCCACGTTTTCATGTTACTATATTAGGCATCCAGGTCCGCACACAATTTATATATGCTTGTGTGTCAGATCTGTTTATATCCTCTTTGGAGTATGCAATGGCATACTTGTCTCTTGGAAGGTTTGGAAAACAGCTCAGCATGTTCATGTAACTTATTTTTACGAAAAAACATAAAATTCTTAAACTTGCAAAATGTACCTATATCAGAGAGTCAGCTAGATGTATTTATTTTCTTAGCCCACCATATAGCTATCATAAAATTCTGTTTAAATTAAATTAATTAATCTTTTTACATTAAATCTCAGGCTATAATCTCAGATCTTTTATTCAAAGCAGTTCCACTGAGAATAACAAATTTTCTCAGTGCTTTGATAATTACTTTTGCAAACTTGCCAAGATGAACCAAGGGAGCAGCCATGGTTTTATCCCACGCTTCACTCTCTGAAAGCCTCTAGAGCAGCAGACTCACTCTTGGTCTTTCAGGGGTGCCCTTCATCAGGTAGTGGAGAAATAGACTATAGTTAGTAAAAAATGAGAGCAGAAAGTCTCTCAACTACCACCTACTGTGAAATATGTATGATACTATAAACTTAGTTAAAAAAAATAGACAAATCCCGCCTTAGAAGATTTGAAAGCCCAGTATGTTTCTCCCTCTCCCTCCCCAATAACCCCTTCTCACCATAGTCACACCCGACAAGAATTCACTACATGAAATCATTGGTCATTTCTGCAAATCTAATTTCTGCAAATCTAACATCAGGCATCAACAGTTCAACTTTTATAAAATAAAGTAACAATACGACCCATAGAGGTGAATATAAAAAATAAATATTCATGTCAATTTGGAAGCTACCTGATCACAAAACATGAAAGAAACGTCAACTATCTCTTTTTCATCTACCGTCAAACTCTAAACACATCATGAAGGAAGCCACACCCGGGCAAATTCCTCTTGGCTAAGTCCGTGAACACTTCCCAAGAACTTCGGACAAAGTTACCATCCATGCTGAGTTATTTACCATCGTGTAGTGCTACTTGCAGTGGGCCAGGGTTTCATTTGCAGGTTATTCAGGGAGGAGCTATGAAGTATGATTTTAAAATCCAGGTTGGAAGCAGAAACAAAGAGTGTGCTCATAGTCTGGACAGGAGACTGCAGTTTGTGAAGTGATGTTCGGAGAATCAGAAGAGAGAGCAGTAGAGAGGATATCTTTCATTTTAGAAATGCTGAGGCACGGAACACAGATGCTTGTAGTCCTTTCATACATGAAATCCCTTCTCCTGTATATGCATCATGTGTAAACGTAAAGTCTGTATACTGCTGACTATTCGTCTCTGGTGTCCAATGAGGATGACTCCGATTCTTCTAACGTCACTGAGAGACAGAGAGAGTGTGAACATTTAGATCTGGTAAGTACGAAAGAGACGAAATGAACACTTAGATATTGTAAATATGTACCAAGTCAGACTTGCTCTATGAATTTGCCAAAAATCGTATAGCTGGTAATGAGAGTTTAAGCAGAGATATAAATGAACATCAAGAGTCTGTTACTTTTTTCTTCTTCTTGGTGCCAGAAAATATATCAAGTTAACCTCAAATTTAAGGTACAAGGAAAAATTTCAAATTCAGGTACCTATGTAATGTTTAGACATTCCATGGACCTAAAGGTTATATAATTTAGGTGATTATATAAATTTCCAACAGTATTGGCAAAATAGCATGTAGGATAGAAGGTATAATATGGACCCCATTTTGAGTTCTCACAGTCTTTCAATAATCTGAAAAAAACATCATTGTTCTATGTTGAACCATAGGAAATTGCCACTAATATTTTAAAACAATGGGAATTTCATACAGCTTAACCTACTACTTTTAGTATCTAGTCCTTTAAGCACATCTTGAGCATTTTTATTGCACCCAGCAGAGGAAAATCTTTGAGACAGTGAAAAAATGCCCAACCATTATAACATAGAGAAGGAGCTCTGAAGTGACATGATTACAGTTACTGCGCTTGATGAAGGCAACAGGAATTGATTATGCAAGATTATTATAGGTGCGTCACAAATAATTTGCCCAGGAAAACTATGTTGACGTAAAATCTACGATGTGAACAAGAGTAGTACGCATTTTGGAAAACATTTATTTTTTTTTAAATAGCTATTTGAATTAAATATATTCTTTCAAAGAATAGTAGTTAAAAGTATAATGTCCAGTTTTCACTAGTCAGAAATGGTGAGGAAAGAAGTGGAAATGCCATAATAGCCTTAGGAGAGGTGGTTTAACCACGGGGTTCTTGATATGGTATTTGAATTTATAATCTCCTGAGCAGAACACCTGAAGACAGTAATAGCCCTAGTACCACTTACTCGATGCTCATTCTTGAAATCAGGTCAAAAGTGGTAAACCCTGCGGCCATGAAGTTATTCTTATATTGCCCCATCTTTATAGAATCCAGCCAGTCACCAACTGTGACAAACAAAGGATACTCGGGAACTTCACCAGGGGACTCGGGCATTCTGCAAGAAAAAAAACCATTGAGCTCATTTAAAAGCCAGATAAAGCAAAAAATACCCAACTTTCTTTTTTCCTTTTACAATATTCTTACATCTGATGCTTTCATCCTCCATTTAAAAATATTTTAAATTTCCCATCATATTCAAATCAGCCTCTTTTATCTGGTCAGGTTCACTTGTTGGTTTCTTTTGTCTTTTTCTGCTTTTCGTCACTACTGGATCTTATACTTCATATGTCCTCAGAAAACTCGCATCTTGCTAACTTCTCTTTACTTTTTTCTCTTGCATAAAATTGTATTTTCAAACCTGAGGAGCAGCCCCCTCCTTATGCCCACAGGCGGTTCACTTTCTCACCCGCCACTGTGCCTACGCCCTTTTGCCGTTGTGTTGTCACATTTCCGATGACAGTGCCTTCTCCTCTTCACGGAGAATTCATTGATAGAGTCTCCATTTATTCCTTCTCAAACATTCAACGAGTGTATTATTTATTATAAAGGAATTTCTGCTGTCATAAAGCTCAAGTGAATGAGCTCTATGAAGAAGATTTACACACATCCAAGCGGAGGGCAACACAGCCCAAAGGCCGGATATCCACAAGGCACCAAACAAAGCGAGATCCACCAGAAAAAGGAGCCCGGCACCAGTGGGTCTGAAAGTAAGTGACACGGAAATCTGTACTTGTGTTCCTGAGATCTGATGCAAAGGGCATTTCAGTTGGGGATATTTTTACAGTTTAATAAAGAAGTATTATTTTGGAAAGCCTAGTGGATGTGTGTGTGTATACATACATTCATACATACATATATATACACAAAATAGTTTTATATAAGCTAAAGTCAGAGACAATAAAAATGGAATTAACCTTAGAAATTATAGTAAAAACACTTCAGAATTGTGTATTTAAGCCTTTCTGGCAATAAATGGTATTATTCTCCTTATATATATACACGAAAATTAATGTTAAATATATTTTATATGGTTTTAAGAAATACTTGGTAGTAAAAGTGCTTTTATAGTAATAAGTATATTAGCCCTCTGGGATAAATATATCACTTAAAAAATTATTAGGTCTAGAGTTCATAATAAATAGTAAAGCAGTAACAATTTTTTTTTATGTTTAGTGTTTGAGCCACATCAGTATTTTCTAAGTAATGAAAAACTTTCCCATTAGACATGAACAACTGAATTATTTTTATTAAAATACTGAAGGTTAATCCAACTTTGATTTACTTTGCTTTTAATTTTTTAGAGTTAAAGAATCCATAGAGACTTAACTAGAGCCATGTTTTTTTTTTTTTTTTTTTTTTTTTAGATTAGCCCTGATCTAACATCTGTTGCCAATCCTCCTCTTTTTGCTGAGGAAGACTGGCCCTGGGCTAACATCCATACCCATCTTCCTCTACTTTCTATGGGACGCTGCCACAGCATGGCTTGATAAGCGGTGCGTAGGTCTGCGCCGGGATCTGAACCCTCCAACCCCAGGCCTCTGAAGTGGAGCGTGTGAACTTAACCACTATGCCACTGGGCCAGCCCCTAGAACCATAGTTTTTACCACTATGCCGCTGGGCCGGACCCTAGAACCATAGTTTTTAACATTCGTACTTGGGATATTTCATCATAATGTTTTTACATTCATATTTGAACTATTTCAGCTTTAACTAGAAACTGATAGTAGAGGAGCACATCTGATTAAACCACATGAAATAAGAATTCCTCCACTGTGAAGCAGGATGGCATACGCACGCAATATAACCCTGGGATTGTTCTGTTAACAACTTACGGGAGTGGGAGTTAGGGTCCCAGGTCAGTGCACAGGTGACAGCTGAAAACCTCTAATAATCGAAATTACCCTTAAAAATATCCTTTAAGTTCCACTTAAATCAGCAGGACCTGGGTCTTCAGGACAAAAGCCAGAGGTGTTCTGCATGGCCACACACGTTGCACACCGTGCGGCTCCCGCAGACTCTGAGACGGCCCTTGAACTGTTCAGGGCAGAGTCCCTGCTAATGGCCCAGAATTCATTTCTTAGGTTTTTCTTGGATTGCAACCTTGATTTCCCTTTTTCTAAACTGGAGTCCAGTGGGGATGGGGGTGTAGAGAGATGATGGGGGAAACCCAGGGGTTTTTGCTCTTTATATGTAACTGGAATTTGCATAAACTAAATGCTTGTGTCTTGTGGCTTCACTGTAGTCCATGTTGAGTCTGGTTACCCTTGACAGTGACAAGGTCCTTATTACCACTTCTCAATTCTGTTCCCACCTTTCCTGTCTGGAGGCTGGGAAGCCACATTCTCTCCTCCTGTACTGTAAATTGCAATGCTATTGAGTGTGGGCTGCTTCATTCCAACTGATATCAGCAGGATTCATGATTTGACCCTAAACAAAGATTAGTCATGTCATAACATCTACCAATAAATACTTTAATTGTTGCTATATTTCTTCATTTCTCAGAAGTGTTTATATTAACAAGTATTATCAAAAAAATAAAAATTAATATATAAATACAAAATAATAAAAGTCTCCATGGCAAAGAGTTAATCGTAGCATTTCTCAGAGTCCACACTATTCAAATGTGCAGTGTGAATATATAAAAGGATTCAGAATAGCTTCCACATCATTTTCGTAAATTACCTGCCCGGTTTCTATGGAACACACTTCAGGAAATGCTGCTGTAGGAAGTTCACTGAGTCTCAATATCAAAATGACCTGGCTTACCCTCATTGTGTATTAAAATAAAATGACACATGGTAGAACACTGAACGTCCGATTTTTAAACAATGTGGCTCTTCTTTTGGTTACTTGTCAAAGAAGTTTGTTGAAACTGAACAAAATTAATAGACTGTGTTTCAGTGACTTCCCTTCACACCCCTCTGCCACTCCTGATGCACAGACACGGTCACGTGACTTCCTCCTCTCTCCTGAGATAACGCTGGAACAACTCTTGAGCTTTCACAGCTGCCTATAATTGGTGAGTGAATTGTAATTTGCTCATTTTATATCCTTAGTATAGAAAGGTGATGGAAGGGCATTCTGTATACTAAATGACTTAGCCGATTTCTCTGTTGAAAAGCATCCGCTATTTGCTCCCAGAATGTTTCAATACTGTAATTCCCTCTCCCTCCACACATCTCTAGAAACCTAATTACTCTTTGGCCTCTATACGACTGCACTGGCAGTTGACCTAGGAAGGTCAGAGTCCCCTCATTGTTCACAGCCACTGTGCAATAACTTCTTTCACCTTATCTTGTAACGAAGGTGAAAAATGCTGCCATTTTCTGGTTTCGAGGGCTGAGTACCATCACCCTCACATGAATTCTCTGGAATACTACCTAATAAACAATAAATGCCCCTTCTTATCAACCATGTACAATGATAAATTCAGTCTGCTATTTGCTGAGCATGTAGAAATTTCTGCTATTTGGTGATTAGTGGGAGCTGCCCACCTGAGAAATGTCTTTACAGCGAGACCAGCAGCTCACATTAGAGAAAGGACACGTTGTAGAACAGAAGACCAAGGGTCAGCCGCTGTCACAGCGTGGAGTGGGCAGAATTAGGGCTCCAGGATGAATTGTGGTCAGTGAGATCAGAGAAGGGCTGGAGTCCAGCCGGAGGACGAGCGGACCGGGTCTCCTGTGCAGTGAATGCTCGCTCCCCGTACCTCCAAATTCGAGAAAACGGCAGCACTGATGGAGCCCCGGGCTTATTCTAGTGAGCCCTCGAGCTCACAGTAGAACTAGTCTTAATTTAGAAAGCTCTTAGATAGGTTATCAATGGGTATCAAAACTGCTATTGAAAAGCAAGAAGGTTTTTATCCTCAAAAGTTTTCCATGTTTCATATTCTTCATGTAAATATAATAGTAATAGATCCATTAAAAATGATCTGAGAAAGGTTATACTTTGAGAAACACTACTGCAGGTAAGATCATGTTTTAACATGAAACTATCACATGTTTAAAGGCCCTCCTCCTCTTACCCCTACTCACACTTTTTTCCTGGCTCCTACATTTATATATGGTTAGCGGAACTGTACAATAGAGTCCATTCTATTTCATATTGCCCTTATTTCACATATTTATGAATATTTTCCATGTTTCAACAGTCTTCATAACTACTATTCAAATGAGTGTATAATATTCTATATGTTGATGCTTAATAACTAGTTAATTCCCTGAAGCTAGACGCTTAGATTGCTAATGACATTCTTTTATTGTAGAAGATTATGCAATGTCAGAGCATGTATTTTTTTTTTTTCGCTTCAGTCGAATTACTTCCTCTGGAAACATCTATATGAAAGAATTCTTTTTTTTAAAGAGTAAGTTAAAACTCCCTAATGGCAGGAACCATATCTCACTCATCTTTCTATTTTCTCAAGGCGTTAGCAGAATGCTGAAAGCATTACAGGAACTCTTTAAATAAGTGATGATTTAGACTTGAATATTCTTTACAGAAAAGTTTGGTCCATGACATAATGACTGGTTCATGATGAATAATCTATTTTCATTTAATTCCATTAAATGGAAGACTAAGTGCCTATTGATGTAACGGTCAATCTATCGACAAACGTGCTGCTTATCTAACTTGTTCCTTGCATTGTGAAAACGTTGGCTTATCTCTGTCTTTATAGGTTTCAGGGTGGAGGAAGAGGCAGTTACAGGTGGAGAGGGGTAACACAGGGTCAGGACACCACCACAGGTCACGTGGTCTGTGGGACCACCACAGCAGCACTCACCTTACTCAGAATCACTGCTTGTACGTGAGTTTCTCATCTCATGACTCAGGGCCTACACTTCACACTAGTTAATCCATAAATCAACCTCCTAACACACACACTGCCTACCTAACCTTTGAAAGAAGAATTTATCTCATCAGATAAAAAAGAAAACATTGCCCCTTTTACAATTAGGCCTAGTAGTCAACTTGAGCGCAAGCTTAATTATTAAAGTATTTTGATATTCTTTAAAAATTTTAAAGTGTCATCTTATTCAAAATGCTATAACATCCAAAATGCATAGAAACATCCTATGTATCTTGTGACTATTTCATGCTTGTGGGCATCTCTTTGTTCCAAACAACTCGACTCTCCACAGGGTTGAATTGGGAGCATGAATTATTTTTTCAGTAAGTCTTTAGGTTTTTTATTGATATGATTATTTAATTCTCATAATAAGGCTGACAACTGGTATAAAGTATGCAGGAATAAAATTTAAAGCAAGTTTTAGAATTACAAATGTGATTGACCATTAGGAGGGATAGATGCAGAGGAGGAATAATACTGTTTTAAAGTCTCCCATAATTCTGAGTACCCAGCGCATGGTCCTTACGGCCAGAGTAATAGATCAGTAAACCTCAAGGAGAGCCTATCTTTGTAAGGAAATAATATGGGGACGGAAATAGATTTCATGTCACATGCCAACTACAATTCACTGGCAGTGATTGTCATGTGTGGTCTTGAAAGGAGACGGAGGCCACAGTGGGCTCAGCGGGAAAGAGTGATTGTGATGTCTCCGCCACAAGGAGAAGGAGCAGAGCATGTGTTTGCCAACACTGGAAAAGTTTAACCTACAAAGATGCCTGAGGGTGTGATTCTGGAACCATGTTGCTGCCATATTTCCCCATTTCTCTGTTTTGTTGTAGTTACCACTTTCTCTTTCCAAGTAGCGTTCTTCAAGTGGAGGGGCCCTGGAGGAGGACGTTGGGGGTATATGGACTGTGTGTTTGCTACTCATTCCCGAGACTGAGGGCACATCCTCTACCTCCTTGTCTGTGCTCAGGGGAGCCCAGAATCACAGGCTATGCCTCACCTTAGATTCTTTTTGGGATCTTAATATACCCCAGCTATGAAGTATGATTAGTCCAGAGAAAATCTATCTGGAAATGTAAACATGTACCTCTCTTCCTATAACCATGTTTCTGAAACGGTGCTGTGTCGGGAAACATCTTGCCATTTTGGGTGATTGTGTACTGTATACTCGCTCCAACGCCCTTCACAGACAGGTTTCTTGAAAAAACAAATTAGTGTTTTGTACTGCTCTTCTCTCTGACCTCATAATCACTTGTCCTCCATTCCAATCTGCCTTACACAACTTTACTGGAAATGCTCTTGCAAAGGCTGCCATGAAGACCAGAGCACCTTGTTAAATACAAAGGACGCCCTTCACTCCTTCTCTTACTGGAGATCGTGGAGCCTTGGATAGCACTCTCCTTGGAGCTCCCTCCCTTTCTGGCTCCTACCCTGCTATTGTCATTGCTGTCTGGCTCTTCCTTCTCCGTCTCCTCTGGGTGCTCTCCCTCTGTTCGTTTCTTAAATCGTGGTGTTCTGGAGGGCTGCATGCTTTATAACCTCCGTGGGTTACCTCAACTATGCTGAGCGCCCCAGCTACAACCCATAGGCTGAGGATCTTCACACTGACCTCTCTAGCCCAGATCTCTTCACCTGAGCTTCAACCTGCAAACACAATTGCCGACTGCACTTCTCCACTTAGATGCCCCAAAGGCGTCTTCAACTCGCGTGCTCTAAACGGTCTCGTTTCTATTCCAAAAACATGTCCTTCCTCCTCTCTTCCTTAGTCGTAACACCATCAGCCAGCTTGTCTAAGAAAGAAACTTGACAAATACCCTTGACTCTTTTCTCTCCTCCTCTCTCCATATTCAACCAATGACCAGGGCAGATTTGTTTTCCTCACCTAATAATAAATCCATTTTCTTATCCTGACTTCAAGCTTAGTCCTATTTCATAAGCCAGGCTCTGATCTTTGCTAGCCTGGACTGCTGCAGACATGACTCTCTGTCTCCTGTCTTATGCCTTGTTTTGTACTTTCAGTCTAAATCAGCCCTACAGTGATCTTTCAGAAATGCAAATGTGATCACACCATTCTCTTGCTTAAAATCTTGAATGGCTGCCCATGGCTTTTATGATAAAACCCAAAGTGCCTTCCCTCCCCCCTCCACCCCTTCCTGCTTTAGGGAAGATGGGGAGAGTAATAGTTTAATCTCTGGCTATTTCATGCTTGGCTTCACTTTACTGAGACTGCCAATTAGTGATTTAGAGGTGAACTCTTCTGTGCTCTGCTGCGAGCTGAGGCCTGTCTCGAGTAGTCCTTGAAGAGCCTTCAGCCTTATTGTCACTAAAACCCTGCCCTGACTTGAACCTGTGACCTGAGGTTGAATATCTGTATATCCTGTTGGCTATCCTGAGACAGGAAATTGATCTTTGGAAATGCTTTGGTTATTTCTAAGTCCAATTTGTCCTAAATAAAGAAATATATTTTCGACTTAATATTTTAAATGTGATATTTTCAGACACAGATGATAGTGTTTTTTCTTCTACTCTCCCTCTTCTCATCACAGCTTTTCAGAGAGAGGTGAGCAGATCTCTTCAACTCTCCCGACTTTGATGAAATGGTGGATGAGTGCCTTCATTTTCTTGTCTTGTCATCTGTCTTTCCTGGTTTTAGGAGTGGAAAGTAACAACAGCTGGGTGTGATCATATCAGCAGGAAGCGTCCTTGCTCCTGGCTGACTCACAAATTGCCCCTGTCTGGCCTGCCATTTCAAATACAGGGACCAAATATGGACTGGATGAGAATATTATATGGCTGCCATCACAGAAATTCCACTTATAAAGGTAAGGAAGGGTCAGTAAATAAAGGAGGTATAAATACCGAAGACCACACTGGAAAAAATAGAGAGAAAGTGATTCAAAAAGATTTGATGTAGAGAAAAGAAAGGGGAACTTCTTTTCTTGTGAAAAAAAAATCCATTTTTTAAAATGTTAATAAATTAGTTTTTTAGCTGATAAATAAAACATGTTTTATGCACAATATTCTAACAGGTTGACAACTAGACGGTTATCAAGGCAAACTTTCTCCTCTCTACCTGTTAGTCTTGTCTACGCCTGAAAGAAATCATGACTGTCAAGGGGGAAAATCAGCATTCTGCATCTTACACCAGGATGTCCTCCACCAGGGTGTGCAGGGCACTGGGACTGCGGATCAGCTTGTCAAGGAAGCTGACGATGTCGGTAAATTTGGGTCTGTGGTTTCTCTCCTTCTGCCAGCAGTGGAGCATCAGCTGGTGCAGAGACGCTGGACAGCCCATGGGAGCCGGGAGTCTGTAACCTTCTTCAATGGACAGGATGACCTAAATGCAAACATGCACAGGTTATTCTCTTACTTTTTGGTATAAAATATACACGTGCTAAGCTATAACTCCTTTTATACAGGAAGGAGACACCAGAATATGGGTCAGCTTGAAACTACCTGTGAGTACAAGAGTCCAAAGAAGGATAAATACAAAAGTTGTAAACAAGAATTGCCAGTATCTCTCTAGCATCTGCCGACACGTTTCTTAGACGTGGTTTACAGAAGGGAGATTAAGTTTCATCACAACGTGAGAAACAGTTCTTGTGTGATTTAGCCAAACCATCTCAAAACCCAATTAGGACACAAGACAGCCAGCCTAAGACAGATGCATTCAGTGCAAACCACGCAGGACAAATGTTTCAGTAAAACTGTACTAGGGCTGAAGCACGGAGTTCCCGAATCATTTTTTATCCTTTTATGATAACGTCAGTGTGCTTTCTTTTTCAGCCATCACTCCTTCTTCCTTCTTTATTGTCTATTTAATCCCCTCTTCCCTTACTCTGGCTTTCCCTAAGTCTCACACTGACGTCATTGTGAAGTCCTCTCATGACTTCTAAGGTTATTTACTCTTTGAAACGCTATCAGTGGCTGCTTAAGGTCACAGAGCAGCAGGAGCGTTCAGCCTGGGCATCCCCTGGGCCAGCTCTCCAGTAGAACTTTCTGTGATGACAGAATGGTCTCTCTGTCCAGCACGGCAGCCAGTAGTCACAGGTGGCTACTGCGCACTTGAAATGTGACTGGTAGGACTGAGGAACTGAACTTTTAGTTTTAGTTAATTTTAATTAATTGAAACTAAATTTTATATAGGAACATGTGTCAAGTGGTTACTCTACGGGACACTAGGGAAAGGAATCTCTATAAGAAGCCAAAGTTAAGAGTAACAAGATGACAGTAAGTATTTTTTTTCTTTGGTACTTAGGAAATCACACACGAGATAAGGCAGGATGCTCATCTGTTTACTCTATGACCCACTGGGGAGCTTCCTAACAACGCCAGAAAACTGACCCTGACTTTATGGAGCTTATGCTGTAATGAGGTGTTCAGAGGTGTTCATGTCAGCCTTTATTCTCATGTCATCTCTGGGAGAAAGACAAAGGAAAGGGTTTATTGCCCCCATTTTTGAGGTGAGAAAACTGAGGAACAGACTAACATTTAAAGGCAGGCACAATTCATCTAACCCCTGCCCTTCCTCAGTAATAGAAACATAAAAATGCAGGTGTGAACAGAAAAGCTCTCTTTGTGTAGCACCACCTGCATGCTTTCTGTAATTTTTTAAAAATAAATCTTATTTTAATTTCTTTTTTAATTGACATTATTTGACATGAGTCTAAAATATCCATAGTTTACACTGGAGGCAGTTGGGAAAAAGGAGCACAAGCACGCCTTCTGGAACCTCTCGACCACTGAGCATCAGCTGCTCCAGCAACAGGGGCCTCCTCACAGACCCCTCAGCGTCTTTGTGACAAGAACACCTCACCCTGCCGGGACACTGGCATTTTCCCGTTCATCTGGTATCCCATTATCGGACAGGAATTCTTCTTGTCTGTTTTCTGACTACTTTTGCTACGAACCAGGCTTTGATTTTAAGACATTTTGCAACACATTTTAGTAAACAGGATGTGTGTAAAAATGCTTGTAATGCACCAAAACTACTGTAGGTAGTTTTGAAAAGTAACTAAGAAAAATAGGATAAAATTCCATTACAGAAAGACTTTAAAATCCCACCCTAGGAGAGCCCACTAGTCAATTCACCACAGTCACCTAACCATACATGCACAGAATAAAACATGACAAGTGAGGTGATATTCTGAGGAAAAACTCGCTGCCTTTCCTGAGTATCTGTCATGTGCAGGTGCTTTGCATATCCGTCTTCATTTACTGCTTGAAATAACTCAGTGTGGTAGACAGTATCATCCTCATTCTTAAATGAGAAAATCTAGACTCAGAGAGGTTATGAAACTTGCCTAAATTCACACAGCACAGGTGGCAGAACTGGGATTTGAACTTAGTTCCTTTTAGCTTCCAAACTTTTCCTCTGGCCATCCCCCAGAAATGCTTTTTGGTTTTCATGATATAACATCTTCCTCTCCAATTTTATATCAATTACATAATTTTTGCAGTGGTTACCACGTTATCGTTTGTCATAGCATCTGCTAATTAGACTTCAGTGTTTTTATTTGGATCTTAAGTTTAATATTCTAGGTAAATCAAAAACGTATTTACTTCACAGTTTGCAAAATGTAATCTCCGGCTGAACATAGTCATTCCTGAATGCTTCTGAGTCCCAGACATTTTTCTATTGCTGCATCCATCACGCTGTTTTGTAATTTTTTCATCTGACTTTCCTCTAAGGCTATACATACTGGAAAGCGGAAATTATTTCTCTAGATTTTGCATTCTTATCACTTAGTACAGTGTCTGACACATTAATAAACACATTGACCTAAACAAAAGCTATTAGAAGAAATTTTTGGATTTGCCTTGATGGAGGGGCAGATTCTTAGAAAACCTGGAGTCTTAAGGTCCCCAAGAAGGATTCAAAGCACAAGTGTGACAGCATTTGAAGTCCTCTCTGAAGGAGATGTTAATAAAAGATTGGTGCATCAAGCAGCCTTGTCCAAAACAATCTCATGACCTCACGCTGATTTGCCTGGACAAAGAGCTGGGTGAGAAGGGGGCTTGCTCCTCTCTGAGAGGGGGACTGGACCCAAACTCAGCTTCCTGTAAGACCAGTGGCTTCTTCCTCCTGTCCAGAGGGGTCGCTGTTTCCAGTGGCCCGACATCCTTACCTGTGGGGAGCTGACTTTCCCCATCTCCATTTTACAGACAAGAACTTAAACACACAGAGGTTTAACTTGTCCAAGATCACACACCTGAAAATTCTGTCTTCAAAGATACACAGAGAGAGATTTAAGCAATATGATTCACAAAAATGGTTAAAAGATACAACATCTTTCTAACGGACATTTTATTTATTCATCCAAACATATATTAAGCACTTAAAATGTCCTCTTGAGCATACTATGTATAAGGGAGAACACGATGAGTAAGAAACACCTCTGTCTTTAGGAAGCGTACAAGCCGGTGGAGGAGACTGAGGAGTATGGATGTGGGAAGCACCACCTGGAACAGGGATCACGTGGAACGAGACCTAACCCAGCCCGGGAAGGTTCTCAGAGGACGTGAGCCAAATCCTGAAGGATGTCAGAAGGTAGCAGGTCAACTAGACGGGTTGAAGAGAGGAGATGTGAGCTGATCAGGGAACGAAAGTAGATTCCTGCAGCTGGAAGAGTCTTCAACGAGAGGAATGGTGAGATTTGAGGCTGGAAGCTTAAGTAAAAATTATATTCCTTGAGATCATGAATGGATTTGTATGCTATGAACAGACTTTCTGCAAAGGGGAAAAGGATTTTAGCAAGTAAATTGCTCTTCTGGCTGCAGTGCGCAGAGTGAGGGGAGGGGCAGGGTGGCCAGGTGGGAGGCTCGCATGACCCAGGACAGAGATCAGGGTGGCCTCAGTGGAGGCAGTGGCCGTGGTGTACAAGAAGTGGACTGATGTGACAGGAATACAGGACGGGGTGAGATTAGATGTGGCCGGAGACGGAGGAGAAACGAAGAACTTCTAGGATTTTGACTCTGTTACCTGGTAAAGAGAGATACAGGAGGACACAGGAGGAGAAGCAGTTTTGGGGCTGGAGCGATGATGAGTCAACTTTCTATGAGCTCTCCGATTTCAGATTCAAGTAACATGTATAACTTTGAGAGCTTATTAACCACCAAGCTCTGGGCTAGGCATTTTCACATAGCTTACTTTATTTAGGTCTCAAAATACCTTATGATGTGAGTACGATTATACATATTGTATAGGTAAGAAAACTGAAGTTCAAACTGATGAACAGATTGGGTCAACATCACATAGCTAGTAATTCCTCAAAGAATGGACGACTATTATCCTCCTGGTAGCTCTGAATCACGGCAGTGGGCGGGAAAGCTTGTCCTGAGTCTTGAGCCCCACTCTTGACTCGTTCCTGGAGTTGGATCTTGAGGCCTCTGTTAACGCTCTCACACACCTTCCCCCTGTGCCATGACTGCGCTTCCAGCAGCACCAGCTCAGCTTCCTCTCAGACTTCCGTATCCATCACCTATAGGACACACCACTTCATAAGGCGCCACACAGCGGCCTTGGGTCTATTTTGTTCAAAACTTACCCTGATCCTCCTTTGGGATTTCTGTCCTTTGCAAAGGGTACCACTCTTCTTCCAGTGACCCAAGTCAGAGATCAGGGAGTCATTTGGGCCTCTGCCTTCCCCCATGCTCAAAATCAAGTCATGCTGATTCTATCACCTTCCTATATTTTAAATCTGCTCCATTTTTAATCCTCTTTTCAAATGATTTATGTCTCATTGTGATCACTGCATCAGCCTCCTAACTAGTCTTCCTGTCTCCACCATCCTCCTCCAGTCCTCTCCCACAGTGCACGCAGAGCAATCCTACTGACGGCTACCATGCTCACTGTGCTCTCACACCTGAAATTCTGCCGTGGCTCACCATGAGCCTGGTCTCAGTCCTCACCTCTGGCCACTGCGGGACACTCGTGGCCTCTCAGCCGGGTGACCTGAGCGCCTCAACAGCAGCGACTGCTTCTTTTTTCCTATGTTTCAAGCATCTGGCCAGCGCCTTGTCAAGCCCAAGGATGGAGCTCCAGCCGTCCTACACATGATCTACAAAGGCTGTGTTGTAGGGGCAGCTTGAGAAAGCCTTTATCTCCATAAACTGTCTTCTGTGAGAAGTTTTGTATTATTCCTCGGTTAAGGACTGACAGGGAGGCAGGAGCACGTAGGGTGCTTTGTCTGAAAGACTAATTGAGGTGGTTGTTTTAGGATGTGAAGGGGTGATAATTAATGGGAGAGAATTCTGTACCAGTTTGGTTTTATGACAGTTGTAGGCTGTCATCCTTTGGAGAAGAGTTATACAAGGTCATACCCTTATTTAAAAATG